ACTACACAAATCGTATAGCTTATTTTGAGTCAATTTCAAAATTGCTTATTTTGTAATTTGGTGCTATCTACACAGCACCATATTTTGAAATAATGTGCTATTCCGAAATGCCCCTTAACTCTCGTGGAACGAGGGTTACCGGAATGTCAGAATAAGCCACCTGTTATTTCAAAATATATTTTGAAATAACGGGCTGCCTCAATAGACACGGAGTAGCTATTTGGGGATGTACCTTTGCAAAGCAAGAGAAATGCCCAACTTGAAATAGCATCTGATTTTGATTCAGTAATAGCACACACATTTCAGGTATTAAATCAGTTAGCTATGGGGTTCTCAAACTTTGTGATACCCCCCTCTAAGTTGCTTACAACCCCCTGGGGGGTCGGGTCCCACAGTTTGAGAAACGCGGAGTTAGCTGATCAAATACATCATTATCCCTGGAATTGTAAAATGTTTATGAATGTCCACGATTTCATAGAAGATGAAAAATCCTAGAACAGATCTTATGCAGGACAGGAAGACCTTTTTTTATTATTTTTGCTTTGGATAGTGCATTACTTCCATTCTTTAAAAAGGTTTTTCTCCTCTCTTGTGATGTGAAAAAAATATAAATAAATCATTTAGTTTCTCTGCAATCGTTTTAACCCCTTTGATTTACCACTTTTCATTCTCTGGGTCTGTTGCCCCCACAGATCTTTGCTTCTGATTTGTGAGGCACTCTAATCTTTTTTTTATATTTATATCTCTAGGTATCGATTCACATTTCTTCTTACCTCACAAAGTTGATGTTTCCTTCTTTGAGCTGATCATATGAACTTTGATTTTCTAATTCTTCCCTTCAGGCAATTTTGACTAATGTGCTCATTTTAAAAAAAAAATCCTTTCCTGAAGGACCAGGTCTTGATATATTCTTTTGAAAGGGTACCTCAGTTAAATATATTGCAGTCAAGTTGTGGAAATGGTGTTTATGGAACCCACTAATAATGTAAACTGTCTACACTGAAATGTAATAATCTCTTCCGAAGTAAAACATTTAATATATTCAACAACAATTTCCCGTAACAGTTCAGGAAATTGCATACATAGCATCCAGTTAAAACTACTGGGAGAATTTTAAGTAAGCAGAACTAGCAGGACCCAAATTAGAATTTAGCCAGGACACTATAGTTATTAACCTTCTTCTCATGAAAAGTACTACCAGTTCTTTGAAGACCACATGTGGTCAGGGCATTGATTTTTATGTCTAATTCAAAAGATTTCACATCCAGCAGCATAGGGCTAATATCACCAACGCCAATATCTGCAACTCTTTATTAACTTCCTAGATGTCTCCTCTCTTAACTGTTTACCAGGACTGTCTGTATTTAGATCATGAGATCTAATCCAAAGAAATATGGCTGTGATTTTAGTGTTTTAGGATAGTGTGTCAAAGCATTTTCCCATAGAGAAAATGGAACTGCCACAATCAACTCATCTGCCTGCTGCAAAAATGTTAAAACTTAAGTATTAAAACATAGAGCAGTTTGCTGAATTTTCTTGTATTACCCGGTCAATTACTATAAAAATAGTGATAAAAGCTAAACATACGCCAGAGAGAATGCAGCATATTAGAGCTCTGGATAGCTGCCATTCTTACCTGTAGTTGCAGAACTTTTCCTTGAAGATGATTCTTCTCTTTCTTCTATCTGCCTTATGCCATCCTAGTGGGATGTGGACATATACAATGAAAAGATCCAACCTGGAATTATGTTGTGCCTTTATTTATTTATTTAGATTTTAAATGATTACAAATACACTTATCTAAGGCTCTGAATGCAAACCTCAATTGAAGTTACAAGACAGTGAAACTCCAGAAGCAGTAAAATATTCATTCCAACAAGAATTCAGACAGACAGACAGACTCCTAAAAAATAGGGTTGAAGTTCAAATTATCATTGATTTGACTCTGAATTATCTACCGGTTGGACCTCTCTTCTCCGGCACCCTCAGTACCTTACTGGCCCCAGATGAGGGAATTTCCTGGACAACGGGAGGTCCCCTGTCACCAGTCCCTCAGCCCCCTGCCCTTCCCCGCTGCTGGCTCCTTCAGCCCCGCTGGGCTGTCTGGACCAGCTCCAGTCCCAACTTCGCTGCCGGTTGGCCAGGCAGCTCCAGCCCCATTGCAGAACAGCACGCTGCCAGATCAGGTTTCCGCAGTCTCAGCTCCACTGCCAGGTGGCACGTGGCCCCAGCCACGCTGATTCTGCTGGTTGGCACGTGGCCCCGTCACACTGATTCTGCCAGGTTGCCACAGCCCCAGACAGCTTTCCCTTCTGGGCTGCTGTGGCCACAGCCCTGGCCCTTATGTCAGGTGGCAGGCAGCCCCAATCGTGCTGCTGCCCCCGCCGCTTGGGCTTTTGTGGCTCTGCTGCCTCCCAGGCTGACACAGCCTGGCCAGGCTTCCCCTCTTGGGCTGCTGTGGTCCCGGCCCTGCTGCCAAGTGGCAAACAGCCCCGATCACACTCCACTGCTGCGGCCCTGTTGCTAGCAGACTCTTAAGGGCTGCACCAGGCTCCCAGCTGTTGGCCCTCTTGCCCCAGGACACTCTCATCCAGGAACTTCCGGGGTCTGGCATGATGTTGCTGGATGAGAGAACCCCGGATTAATTAAACCTTTGGAGAGACAGATGCAGTTGGTCAGTCCTTGTGTAGTCATATGAATTTGGGACATGCTTATTAGTAGGAATGTTATATTTCGATTAACTAATTGAATAATTGATGGGCTTTCCATCGACTATTCAATTAGTCGATAAGAACTACTGTGTTCCACCTTTGAAATGTACAAGAGCCTCAGTGGGAACTCTTGTGCATTCAAAGAGGAAGCACCCATGGAATCTGGGGTCAGCCAGGGACGCTTTTAAGCTGGCTCCCTCCAACACTCCCTTCGCGTCCCCCCCCCTTGCTGCCTCTTTGTGATAGAGACAGCAAGAGGGGGGGGGGAGAAGCAACTAGTCAACGAGGGTGTCAACTATCCAATAAGCTTTTGCTTATTGGATAGTCAACTAGTCAATTAGTCACTTACATCCCTATTTATTAGAGTGATGAGCTCTCAGTTTTGCTGTAAACACATGGACTTCCGAGAATCAGTTGCTTGATGTTTATTCTGTTGACACAGATGAGCTACACTGTGATGTCAGCACCAAAATAGGAATCATGATATGAGACAAAGATCCAGAATATGAATAATTAAAAAATATTAGAAAAGGGGAAAATAATTCAATATGATTGATTGGGAAAGTGAGGATCACTTTTTAATTATGGAATCATTATTTCCTGTTTCTTTGAATCTGATGATAAGGGTGTGGCTGAAATTCTGTTATTTACTTTAAATAATTTAGTTTGTGAAAGTGAATAGAGAAAAATAATTTTTAATTAAATTTAATTTAAACTTTTCAATTTGTCAGTTTCTCAAGAGTAATATCAACAAAAACTGATAAAACTATAAATTAATTAGTGTTCTATTTTCATTATTTATTGATTTTTTAAAGTTATTTCTGAAATAGAAACATATGACTATTCTCTTTGATATTGCAATTTATACTTACTTGATTAGAAATAAAAATAATTTTTAATTAAATTTAATTTAAACTTTTCAATTTGTCAGTTTCTCAAGAGTAATATCAACAAAAACTGATAAAACTATAAATTAATTAGTGTTCTATTTTCATTATTTATTGATTTTTTAAAGTTATTTCTGAAATAGAAACATATGACTATTCTCTTTGATATTGCAATTTATACTTACTTGATTAGAAATATCAACAGGAAGTCTAAAACAACTGCAATGCTGCCAACAGGTTCTGCTAGCTTAATTGCTTGCATACAGCGAGTATGCTGATTAGACTGCACCACTGGACAAGGGTCTGGAGTTAAAAGCAGAAAATGTCCTTGACTCCTGAAACACCATAGCTTTAGTATATTTGTTTTTGCTATAATTTAATTGTAAATCACGTGACAGGAATGGTGGGCACACTTGTGTATAATTATGCACTTGCTCATTCGCTCTCTCACACACACACACACACACACGCACGCACGCATGCACATCTCTTGGCATTAGAGAATTTAGCATTTCACCCGGTACTAAACATACCTACACCGTTTTTTTTTAACCTTCAGAAAATTAGTTAAAGAAAACTGTTCTCTAAGGGTATATCTTTGCCAAGTTTCTTTGGAAACAAATGCCCTTTCTGTTTGTGGAGGTCAGGCCAGAGGTTATCAATACTAAGGTAACATTTTCCCTGACTTAATGGAAGTTGTGCTTGTTAAAGATGGCAGTTTTTGGCCCAGAGTGAATAACTCATGTTAATATGTTAATTGAAACAGAAAGTTGAAATTCCAAAAGCTGTATCACATATACTATGGAAAGTAGTCATTTCCCACTGAATCACAGAACTAGCAATTCTCCTGGAATCTTCTTAAGGGAGCTTCATCTCAAGATTAAAGTTTTGAGCTTGAAGAATGTGTCAGATGCTCAGCCTAGTGCAAATCTGTGGATATTCACTTTATGTCCACAGATACACGAACAAGGTCTGTGGATATCATGGATTGGATATCATTGGATTGAATTTTGCATCCACATAAGGCTCTACAAATCATCTTAGGTCTATGACTTTAGGATATGGCCCTAAAAATGTTGTATGGTGCAATTTTCATTTTTTTTAAAAACTAAAGCACAGATTGTGAAAAGTATGGACCTAGCCCTATTTTCTAAAATTACAGCTTTGTTGATAATTGTATGGCATCATTATGCATAGTCATTAGAGAATGTGAATTAGACTGCCGGGCACATATTCCTGATCTGCAGATTGGCAGAAATTAAGATAATAAAAGAGATTTTCCAGATCAATAGTATTAGGTGAATAAAGACAATGTTCTATTTAATTACCTTGACCGTGCATTTTGTTTCTGCTGCAAAAATTTCAAATTGAAGCATTTATGAGAATCTGTTTTCTAATGTAGACCAGCCCTGATGACTGCAGAAGACAAAGGATATGAGATTTGTATTCAAGTGGTATCAGAGTTGATGGAGAAAATCTTCCTTAATATTCCTGCAGACTGGCTGAACAGATTAATAGGTACTGTCTAATTTGTTAAAAGAACAATCAGCTGCAACACCGAACCAGAAACACTAAACTAAAACTAAGTTATAGTTACTGTCTAAAGACAGGACATTGATCTGGTTTGATATGATGTTTCTGATGTTTTATGTAAACATCAGAATGCGTGTTTCATTTTCCACTGAGGCTTTGTCAGGCATTTATAACTAATTCCCAAACATTATTAATCTGAAGTTACATTTATAAACATTGATCATTTTTGTTCAGAATCCTGAAGGTGAATGCTGTAATTGTTACAAAAGACATGAGAGATCTTCTGAATTTAGATAACAGAAAGTACTGTGAGATGATTATGTATAACATTACATAGCTCAATACAGTTACTCGTTAGGAGTGTGCGTGTGTGTGTGTGTGTGCGTGCGCGCGCGCCTCCATATGTGGAATGGTTTCCATCTCATTTTTTAAAAATAACTCCCATAGTTTCAGAATGTATATAATTGCAAACGGTGTTAAATGTCTTGCTGAGAACTCCCGTGTTGTTGACATCCTCAAAGTAAACTTCCTGCTTGGGAGCTGCTAGAGAGTATGTTACAGGAACTGTAGTTCAGCCCAGGAAAGAAGGACTAGCAAATCTGAAAATGTGTAAAACTCTTCTAAGGAAATTTTTACTTTGTAATTACTAAATTAATTATTCAGCTTTGTGATTCAAATGTTGAGCAGCATTTCCTATGTTTATCCCTTTCAGTGAGCAGATCAAATCTGAGGATATGACACTACAGTGGCAGTTTTTTGAGGTTTGGGGAAAGAACTTAAGTATAGATATGAGCATTGATAACAATGAAGCATAACTGATTGGTTCACTATCTTTTGCAGTGCCTCCCTCAGATGTTACCTATGGCATGGTAGTGGCAGATCTGTGCCACTCACTGCTGTCAGACACATCCTGTCTGTTGGACATTAGGAGCCATTTTACTCTGGATGAAAACAGCTATCCTCTGCAACAGGATTTCTTCCTGCTGGATTTCCATCCTGATCTCTGAAGCCTTGTCCTCTTCAGTGACTGACTGACTGACTGACTAACAGAGAGCATATGAATTAGCAGATTTAAAAAAAACAAACAAAAAAAACCCTGCATTATCCCACAAAAGGATAGAGACAAGAAAAGTAAAGAACGACAGTGAAAAATGTTTTTATGTATAATTTGTACTAAAAATTAAGAATAAAAATGAAAATCCACTGCTGTAATATTTTATGAATTGTCATATAGTGATTTTATATGCTGTTCTTAAATATTTTGTATATACCTTTATTTATAAAAGGGTTTCACCAATATTTTCTCCTCCTCTTTCTCTTTTCTCTGCCTCTTCAAAAAAAAAAGTCTTCTGATATTAATTGACAGTGAAGTCATATGTACATTGACAGAGGAGAGGGAAGCCATTATTCTGGAGTATGGTTTTAGATATAAGATACTCTGGTTTTGTTATTTCTTATGTCTTTGCTCTGGTTCACCTCCTCTCTTCTGTGGACAGCAGTTTTTTCATTTTCTCCCTGCAGCCTAGTAGTCTTGCTTCTCTCCCATCTGAACATTTTCTCACTGAAGGATCCTAATATCTGAGTCCACCATGCCAATTGTATAGCTAAGGATTTGTCTTCACACACAAGTCACGCTTAGTCAATTTAACTTAAACTGGTATTAAAAGCTTGTTTAGTTAAACTGGTGCATACTCCTTTGTGGACCCTCTTAGATTGATTTAACCTGGTATATATTGATTTATTTTAAGTTGGCAAGAAACTGACTAAAGCTAATGAAAGCTGCCTGTTTAAAAAATAGGCAGTACTCTAAGCACCACCCCTCCTTTCCAATCAGGCTCTTATTCACAGAGCACAGGGCCCTGCAGCCTGTGGGGGTGGAGCAGGGCAGGCTCCTGCCTGAGAAAGGAGCTGGTCTGCTAGCTGGGAGTCTCACTAGTAAGTCTCCCAGTCCCTCCTTCCCCTCCAGCCCTCTGCCCCGCTGCTCCTACCCCCCATCCCACATTAGCCAAATCCTCTGCACCCCAACCCTGCCCCAGATCACAATCCCCTCCTGCAGTAAGTCACAACCCAAACCCCTGCACCCCAATCCTGTACCTGCTCTGCACCCCAACCCTGCCCCAGATCACAATCCCCTCCTGCAGTAAGTCACAACCCAAACCCCTGCACCCCAATCCTGTACCTGAGGTTGCAACTGCCTCCTTCACCCAAACTCCCTCCCAGACCCTCATGCACCCAAATCCCTTAACCCAGGGGTGGGCAAGACAACCTCAGCAGGCCGGGTTCGCCCGCCAAGCCAGTTGATCCAGCCCACAGCCACCCTGCCACTTCCCCAGAGCAATCGAGACTTGGGGTTGGAGGAGCTGGCGGTTCTCTAAGCGCTGAGGAGCAGGGGCAAAGACTTCACATGCTCCCTCCACCTCCAGGCCAATCAGGGTCTGTGAGCAGGGAAGCACAGGACGCCTGATGGGCCTGCCCGATTCGGGGCGGCCTGTGATCACTTCAGAAATTTGAAGTTGCCCCTCCCTTCAAAAATTATTGCGCATCCCTGGCATAAGCTTTCACAAGTTGAACTCACTTCATCAGATGCATGAAGTGAAAGAAAAGAAAGAGATGGCAGCCATACATAGATGGGAGTGTTACATCAGAGCTAATTCAGTCAGGGTGCATGTGGATAAGAAGGTGAGAATACCTGAAGGGGGAAATTATTTATTGTAATGGGCAAGCCCATTCCCTGTCCCTATTCAGACCCATTCTTTGATGGTTTCAAAAGGTGCATGTGAATTCCAGCTCAGCAGTTTCACACTGCAGTCTGGGTTGGTTTTTTGTTTTTTGTTCTTGAGAATGGCAACTTTCATGTCTGTAACTATGTCCAGGGAGGTTAAAATATTCTCTGCTGGTTTTTGTATGTTACAGTTCTTGATGTCTGGTTTTGTCCATTTATTCTGTTGTGTAGAGACAGTCTGGTTTGTCCAGTGTATGTGGCAGAGGGACCTTGCTGGCACATGATGGCCGATATTACATTAGTAGATGTGCAAGTGAATGAGCCTTTGATGGTATGGCTGATGTGGTTAGTTCTTATAATGGTGTCACTAGAGTAGATGAGTGGGCAGAGTTGGCAACGGAGTTTGTTGCAGGGATTGGTCCCTGGATTAGTGTTTCTGTTGTGGGGGTATGTAGGTGCTGATGAGTGTTTCAGGTCTGAGACTGTCTATAAGTGAGGACGGGCCTGCCTCCTAAATTCTCTGAGAGTGAGGGATCATCATCTAGGATAGATTATAGTCTTGACAATATGTTGGAGAGGTTTTAACTGGTGGCTGTAGGTAATGGCCAGTGGTGTTCTGTTGCTTTCTTCGTTGGGTCTGTTCTGTAGTAGGTAACTTCTGGGTACCTGCTTGGTTCTGTCAATCTGTTTGGAGGGAATATTTTGTGCTTTCATTGTCTAAAGACCTCAGATAAAGCTTAGAGGGAGAGATAAATGTTTGTATTATAACTTTCTTATGCTTAGACGTGGTCTAAACCCAGTATTTGTACTGGAGTAACTATTTCTGTCAGGGGTCTAATTTTTTACCAAGATAGCTACATCAGTACAATATCTAGTGGACACTATTTTATCAGTAAAAAGGTGATTCTTACTGTATGTAGCTTATTTCCATCCCCTATGGGAATATATATACCGGTATAAAATATCTTGCATCATGTAAGGCACCAGTTCTCAACTAGGCCCCCCTGGAGAGCCATGAGCAGGTTTCAGAGGGTCTGCAAAGGCCTGGGCTTCAGCCCCAAGTGGCAGAACTCAGGCTCAGGTTTCAGCAGCAGGGTTTGGCGAGGGAGTACCACCTCCATCCTCTGACTTACCTCACTGGGCCACCCACCCTGTCTGAGTGTAGTGGGGAGTAGGGGGGAGAAAATCAAAAACTACAGTGTCATGAGTAGACAGCAGCTAGCCAAGAAGTCACACCCCTACTACATGAACTGTTCAGAGAGCAGCACCAAATGGTGAACCTGGCAGTTTTGGGAGTGGGAGAAACAGCAGGACAAAAATATGTGACCTGTTCTCTTCTCACTATGTCTTTGCAGGTATTGATTTCATTTATCATCAGTCTTGCTCACTGGAGGTCTGACTCCACTAAGCTCCCATGGGCTCTTGTTGAACCTTTTAAACATCTATTTCCTAGAGCTGGAAGGGACCTTGAAAGGTCATCAAGTCCAGTCCCCTGCCTTCACAGCAGGACCAAGTACCATCCCTGACAGATTTGCCCCAGATTCCTAAATGGCCCCCCTCAAGGATTGAGCTCACAACCGTGGGTTTAGCAGGCCAATGCTCAAACCACTGAGCTATCCCTCCACCTCGCAACACAGAACTGTTTCCAGGAAAAATTAATTTCTTAATAGAGGAAATGTTTATACACTAGTGATGCAATGTAACTGAGATGATACTGAACAGACACAACTTTCTTTGAGCACTGTCTGATGTCAATTAGTTGTTTACAAATAAGTGTGTGTCAGGAGAACTCGTGCACAACACTAGAGGTTAATTGTATTTAATACAAGTATATTGAGGCCACGTGTATGGCCTGTGCTTTCCCTGGGGCATAAGGGGCAGCAAGAGTCCAACCCAGTAAGTCTTCATTTAAGCTAAATCTTTTTAAAATGCTCCATATTCTTCAGACCCACTTCTGATCTATTCTGTTTGACTGTGTGAACTGATCTAAACTGCTGATCAGATGCTGGAGAAGAATGGAAAAGTCAAGTGTTTCTTTTGCCTGCGGAACTCACATATTCAGAGCAGATGCTCGGTTTGCTCATCCTCTGTTGGAATATGCAAGTTCTGAGATAAGTCAAAGACTCTGTCTTTTGGAACCATCCTTGAAAGTCTCATCAGCCCCTAAGTAGATGAGCATTATAATCCTGTTAGTGAATAAATCATCTTAATCCAGCCAACAACACCTAAGACAGCACCAAGGAAAAATTTGGTACTGACAGTGAATGGTTCTGATGCCTGCAGCACTAAAGCTGATCTCAACATCAGTGTCAAAGCTAGTACTGATACCCTCATTGTCTGGCTTCAATATTGGAGGTTTGTCTACTCTGCAGGGCTAAAGTTGAATTAAGCTGCGCAACTTCAGCTATGTCAATTGCGTAGCTGAAGTCAAAATAGTAATTCAGCTTTTGGCGCTGTCTACACAGCAGGAAGTTGAAGGAAGAGCACTCTTCCTTCGACTTCCCTTACTCTTTGTGAAATGAGGGTTACAGGAGTCGGAGTAAGAAGTCCTCCAGCTCAACATTATTTCAAAATATAATGGGTTGCAGTTTAGATGCACTCTTTATTTCAGAATAATGCCGGTTATTCCGAAATAACGCTATGTAGACATAGCCTGACTGAAGAAGCCATGTATCAAGAAGCCTGAGAAGGAGCTCAATGTTATCTCATAAGGACAAACACAGCAAAGCCTGTGGCGAGGACTCTGCCAAGCCTCATGTGATGTTGAGGGCTGGGGAGAAGGAGGAGCCTATGACACAGCAGTCTGCTAGCACCATTCTAGGCTCCAGTGATCATCAGTGTCAACCTCAGGCTCAGTGGAGGAGAGTGGGCCTGAATGTGAACCACCATTAGTACCAAGATATCTAGTGGCTCTAGTATAGACTCCAGCACCAAGAATTTCTTACATGTTGGCCACACCCCAGAAGAGGTTTGCACCTCAGTCACCAGAGCATACATTTTCCCTGTCCTCAAGTAAAGAATCTTGTCCCCTGAGAACTGTGATCACATGATGAGACCAGCTTCATCTCTACCAACCTGGTGACAGTTAGGTCAACCCACCCCCGCCTCCCGGATCAAACTGTACTCCTGTAGCATATTACCACGGCCTTATTGGATAGTGGGGGCCCACAATCGCAGGCATCAAGAAGCCGGTCTCCTCCATGGCTATAAATGCCCCATCTCACCACTGAAGGATCTTTTCTCTCTGTCACTGGATGAGGCAGTATCTTTAGAACCAATATTAGCACTGGCTGTCCCAAGTGTCCCAAGACTAGGATGTTAAGTAGCGATTAATTAGCTAATCAAGTAGTCAATGGAATTTCCATTGACTACTCGATTAGTCAATAAGGGGGAGGCAGACCTTTCAGGCAGTTTCCCCACCTCCTTGTGGCAATACCCAGTGCATCAAGAGGCCAAAGTTTCTCATTGCAATGACTCTAAGTGGACGACACAGTATATTTGCACCTGATGTCAAATGACTGGTGGAACTTCCTCTGAATATCAAAGCACAGTCAGCACGGACACAAGCATCATTCTCCGCTGCTTCAGAAACATGCCAGTTTCTGAGAGATGCAGGACAGCTACATGAAGCAACCCACTGACCATTGCTAAATATCAAGCACTTGCTATGGCAGCCTGGTCAGATGCCAAGTGAGTCAGTGCAGTCCTTCGGTCACTGTCTGATACAGGTGAAATGCCTCGTGCCCTCCATCCTAGTAGTCTACTGTTTGCTGGTCCCCTGTATGGGATCCACAAGGAAATATCCTCGAAGAAGAATGAATGATTTGGGCGGTTCTTTGAGATGCTGTAATCAGTGTTGATTCCTACTTGGCCCTGTTTGTGGAGTCCTTAACAACTCGGGCTTTGAGGGAGGGTGCATGTACGGCACCAACACACACTAGCATTAAAGAAACTTCTAGCCTTGTACTCAGGAAGTGCCTGTCCACCTACAGTGGGGTCCACACCAACTGCCTCTCAAAGAACAAAAGCCCCTGTAACACTCAAGGGCTAATGCTTAGGGCAATAGAGTACATCCACATTTACACTGCCATGAAATTAGACTGGAACACTCAGAACAAGAAGCTTTCCCCTTTGCAGGGACAGTGGGATCTGTCTATCTGCAAAGTCTCACATGGAGTTCTTTTCAGATTTCTTTTGCGGCTCTTTGAGTTTGCTGGATTTAAATGTGGAGTTGTTTCTGTTTCATACTCTGTTTCTAAACCCTGACTGTGGATCTATTAGGACCTTGAAGGGATGGCTTTTTCTGCACTGAGATATGGCTATGATGTTGCATACAGCAGTTGGCAATCAGAGACAAGTGAAACAGCACTATTCTAAGCTTTGCATACATAACCACCGTAACTCACTATACAAAAGAAACAGTTGCTGAGAAAATACCATGCTGTGTTTCAGCTCTGGCCTCTGGGCACGCATAGGTACACATCGCTCACTCTCAAAACGCTGCCCTCTCCGTACAAAACTATGTCTCTTGGCAGTGCTTCACATTCCAAGGTGAATGTTGCAGTGGGCCCTACTCACTCTGGCTTTAAGCCCCTCCACTGGCTCAGTTGCTTCCACTTGAGCTCCTCAGTTACTGCACTATGCTCTCATTTGTCAAACAGTACTCCCTGTGATTTGGTTCACTGACGCATCATCACACTTCAATGTAAATTTAAATCAAAACTAATCTTTCCTCACCTTGTCAGTTCTTTGTGCACCTGACCCAGTGATTCCTAAGACTTTCCCCCCTGCCCCTCAAAACAAGAAGCTACAGCAAGGTCTTTCCATCTGACTATAGTTTCAACTGGGTCTGCTGCAGGAGCCTTCCTGCTCCTTGTCCACCAGTTAAGAAATCTCCTTTTATAAAACACATCGCCTCTTCTCTGAGCATTAGGTGATCTCCACCAGTCCACCACCTGGAAAGCAGTTTAGACCTGGTGGGGATGAGATTAAACACCAAATCATTGCAAGGGTTACCTCATCCCGTGGCATATGTCATTTACATTGGGGAGCTCTGTTGCTATGGCTAGAGAATTACTCAAAGGGAAGTACTGAACAACTGTTCAATAAGCAATTCTAATTTGGGGGGACATTGATAGGAAATACCGTGAGCAATGTTGAATCTTAACTCACAGCTTCGATTTCTTCCTTTGTCTACTTTTGGAGTCTGGATTGTTTTTTCATTTACATTCAGCTGGGAACGTTTGTACTTTCCACATTTAGGAAGAGAGGAGACACCAGCTAGGAAAGTGACTCATCTTCGCTACTTCATAGACTCTCTCAAAGACAGCAAAAGGCCAGCAGGGTGGTGTGACTTGCCATTATTCCACTGACACATGAGCCAAGAATCTGCCCCCACTTCTGCCAGGCCTCTTTTTCATGGCCGTGTATTAGAGCAAGAGCATTCTCTCGTGAGGAATCAGACATGATCTTTCCAACTCCTGCTACTCAGGTTAGTTTGAACAGCAATTCCAACACCCATGACACAGCCAAAATACAAGGATACTAGTCAATAACCTATAAGCTCTACAGATCCATTTCTCCATCACTTCATTTAGAATCAGTGAATAGCAAACCTTACGTTGTCACAGGACTTGTCATTCTATCATGTAGAAGCATAAATAAAGGGGAAAACATTAGTGCAATGTATTTTTTATTACATACAAGATACTGTGCAGCAAGACAGACAGATGTGCTGTCAACCTGGAAAGTGCAAGCAAAGAAACAAAAATTTTATTTCTTAGCCTAGCAGCACTTACTTTAACAGATATAGTACTTGACAAATTTACACTACATAAACACTCATATCATCTACTAAAACCTAACTGAAATACATTATTTGTTCACCTTCATGTACAAACAAAACAGTTTTTATTAACTTAAATGGGAATGCACACAGAGTCGATTTTAGTGTCCATTACAATTTTATTGTAACAAAATAGTTAGCACATGTTCATATATTATTTTCCTCATCAAATTATATTTGCTGCATATTAGGCTGTTTTAAAGCATTTTTGGAGGAATACAATCAGGAAAACAGATTTATGCAAAGTTTCGAGGACTCAGAAGTACTGATTCAAGGCAGACGACATAACATGGTCAGGTATTTTACAAGTTTCTTCACATAAGACCAATATGTCTCATCACTGATTCTCTAATACTGGACCTCTCTTGTACACAATTGGCTATTCCTAACAAACTGTGACATGAGGAATCCCCAAAATATTCCACTTGGAGGTCAGGCAGATTTTAACCTACTTTACTACTGCCTATTTCAGACATACTCCAATTTACGCAGAAAGTAGCAGGGTTTTCCAAAGGAAAAGTGCTCTGGTTCTCAAGAAAGCTCTATTTTGATATATTAATTACACTGTATCCTGTTTGAAAGGAAGCCTGTTTTCTCTCAGTTGCAAAGATTACAATGCTGATTGAAGCATACTGTACCACATGCTGCATTAAAAGACAGCATGCTGGTCTGGTTTATGATTTTAGGATAGACTATAGAAGTCCTGTGTTTAAATCCTAGGTGAGCCATCAAGAAGTGACACATGTCCTATTGCTTTCATTCTGATTCAGCGGTGAAAGTAGCTTACAATTTCTTATGGGTACTGCACACCAGGGTGCACCCGCTTACTTTCCCCTCTGTTCTGCTTCAAACATAATCAGATCTTTGTGATGAAGGAATCACCACCACAACAATTTCATTTTGCCAGAGTTCAAGTTAACAACAAGTCTGTAATACAGTTAGAATTTTGGCCAGTGTTTTCAATACTTTTACCTTGTCTTCAAAGTCACCAGAAGAGGTTATATTTTGGAGTCAACTGCAGACCTCCAACTAAACTGCTGAGAGAAATATAGCATCATTTGGAGATTCACCAGAAATAAATTTATGGCTGCTGGGTGATTATAAGCCAGATTCATATTACATTTTCAATGGATTTGAAATATAAACCATTTGTCCGGGATAAAATGTATTTGGCTGACACATTTTGGGCCTAATTGACTCCAGTTCTATACCTGTGACACTCCATTAAAAATTCCAATAGACCTGCACTGGTCTAGAACTGAAGCAGTGGAATGGTGGATCAAGCTCCATAGCCTTATGGACAATTTGTAGCTTGTTTTGGGTTCAGTCCAGATGAGTAAACTACCACAAACCAAGGTCAGCAGCTCACGTAACTGGTCACCAGGTTAGCATGCTCCTGTTTCTCTTCCTGCTTTGTATGTCTGACCAAAGAAGGGCAAATCTTTTGGAGGGAGAGGGAAGACTGTCAGCATAGGAGAAACTGAGTTTTCTGGAGGGTAAGTGTGGTTACAGGTTCACTGGCTGGTTACACGGGTCAGTGGTGGAAAAGCTTTGTGGACATTTCTTTGGATCCAGAAACAATGAGAGCTCCTCCATTTTGAAGGAGTCCTGTGTCTCTCCGGTGCTGCTCAGCGGGAGTGTCTGCTCCGTTAGGTGTTGCGGCAGAGAGCATGCCATCGTTTGACCAGCTCCTTGGGCTTGCTGATCATTTCGTTCCAGTGCTCCAGCTCCTTGCCCCTCGTGTACATGAAGGGGCCAACCACGACACGGCCCAGCAGGTGGGATTCTGAATCGAGAAAAGGAAAGAATGGGGTTAGTGGCCAGCACCTTCTCTGTGTTCTGGTTAGCGCCTTGCCTAGGAGTGGAACAGCAGCATTTCCTCTACGTTGTCAGAGAATATTTTTAAATCAAATTTCCAAAGTGTGCGCCATTGACCCCCAGCCGCCACGGCCGTGCTTCTGTCCTGCTGGGGGTTTCCTGGGGACTAGGCTCCATGGGACAGGGCTCTGTGGCTACCTCACTGCTGCCCTGCCGGGACGGGGCTCCAGAGGCAGGGCTCACTGGTCCCACTGCTGTCCGGTCCAGCTGGGGCTCTATGGGAGCGGGATTCCCCTCTGCTGCGCTCCCTGACTGGCTCGCATTCCCAGGCACTGGGGCTCTCTGGTCCACCACCATCTGTGATCCTGCCAGGCCACAGAGTCCTGGATTGAAGAGGTTCAACCTGCAGTGTGACTCAGCCATTTGGAGATATTGCAGGTGGGGCACACTCAGTCACATCAAGTATCTAGCCTTGGCCTGTTCCATCACTTTGTGTTCGGCCAGCCACAGCTACTGTTCTGAGCAGGCCAATCGATATCCATTCAGACCAGGGCTGGCACGTAATGGTGTGTGCTGCTCCTGTGCAGTGGTGTTGCACAGGGGCAGCGCTGTGGAAGCCTGGGATCAGCTGGAGTCCTCAGGTGACCCCAGGCTCAGTACAGCTGCCCCTTTGAAACACTGCCCCAGGGGCAGCACCGCAGGAGCCCGGGATCAGCTGGAGTCCCCAGATGACCCCGGCTCCATGCAGCACTGCCCCTTGTAAAGGCCATCCCGGCATTTCAAAGGGGCAGCACCATGGGAGCCTGGGCTCAGCTAGAATCCCCAGCTGATCCTGGGCTGCGCTGCCCCTTTGAAACACTGCCAAGGTGTTTCCAATGGGCAGCGCTGCCCGGAGCCCGGGGTCAGCTGGAGGCTCCAGCTGATCCCAGGCACCTACTGCGCTGCCCCTTTGAAATCAAGGACCCTTCCACTGACAGATCTATTTCAAGGGTGTCTCCTGCCCTGGTCACCACTTGCTTGCACAGGGTTCAGCCGGATGACTGAAAAGTGAAAGCGTTTTGGCTCATGGAGGCAGCATATTTAGTTAGTGCAGTGGTCACCAACCAGTAGAACGGGACCTACCAGTAGATCATGGAGCCTCTGACAGGTGATCCTGGCCGGTTTGGCTGGAAAGCTAGTAAATGCTGGCACTTCAGCTGTCCCTCTCCCCACTGTCATACTGTTCCTGCCCTCTGCCCCTTAGAAGCCTCCTACCTGCTGTGCAGGGTGTGGGATGGGAGAAGGGGGAGGTGCTGATGTCAGGGTGTCCCTCCTCCCCCCACTCCTGTACACACAGAGAGAAGGGGTTGGCGGGAGCTTGGCAATGCAAATCTTGGTCACTCTCACACACTGTGTGTGTGTTCGTCATATCTCCCCACTGTCATACTGTTCCTGCCCTCTGCCCCTTAGAAGCCTCCTACCTGCTGTGCAGGGTGTGGGATGGGAGAAGGGGGAGGTGCTGATGTCAGGGTGTCCCTCCTCCCCCCACTCCTGTACACACAGAGAGAAGGGGTTGGCGGGAGCTTGGCAATGCAAATCTTGGTCACTCTCACACACTGTGTGTGTGTCTCTGTCATTCTCACAAACACACACTGCCCTTCCCTCATCTCCTGACCCAACCCATACGTGGGGGTTGTTGTTACTACTTGTACTGCTTGCAAAGTGGGTTATTTTTAGTGTTTGACTGGTCTGTGCATTTCGTAACTTTCATTTCTCTCTTACGCTTAAATGTAATTCTTTGAGTAGTGAGTTCTAAAATGCCGAACCTGTCGTGACTGGGGTCATTATCCCTGCGGTAATTGTGCTCCTGGAAGTGGCTGCATGTCCCTGCAGTCCCTGAGAAAGGCAGAGCAGGGGTTCTCCACATGCTGTCCTCGCCTGCAGACACCGCTCCTGCAACTCCCATTGATCAATAACAGGAAACCATGGCCAATAGAAGCTGTGGGCTTGGTGCCTGTAGATGAGGGGCAGTGCATGGCGCCATGGAGCCACTGCTGTATGTGCTCCACTGCTCCACCACCTGGAAGCCGTCTCAGTTAAACCGTACCCAGGCAGAGCCTGCTTCCTGAACCCCTCTCCCAGCCCTGAACCTCCTCCTGCACCCAACCTCCTGCCCCACACGAGTCCCTCTACCCCCAAACTCCTTCCCAGAGCCTGCACCCTGAAACCCCTTCTGTACCTCAATCCCCTACCAGAGCCTGGTGAAAGCGAATGTGGTTCGGGGAAGAAGAGGGATGGAGTGAGCAGGGTGAGACCTCAGAGAACGGGTGGAGCAGGGGCAGGGCCTCAAAGAAGGGGCAGGAAGGAAGTGGAGCAAAGGTATTTGGGTTTGAGGTAGATCTCACATTGCACTTAAAACTGAAAAAGTGATCTTGTGGTTAAAAAGGCTGGAGACCTCTGTAGTAGAGCATGGCTACGTCTACACTGGCCCCTTTTCCGGAAGGGGCATGTAAATTTCACCTATCGTAGTAGGGGAAACCGCGGGGGATTTAAATATCCCCCGCGGCATTTAAATTTACATGGCTGCTGCTTTTTTCCGGCTCGGGGTTTTTGCCAGAGAAAAGCGCCAGTGTAGA